CTCTGCCTCTCCCCCTGCTTGTGTGCTCTCTCTTTGTCTCTCTCTCAAATAAATAAAATCTTTTAAAAATAAATAAATAAGTAAGTAAGTAAATAACTGAAAAATTAGGGCACCTGGGTGGCTCAGTTGGTTAAGTGACTGCCTTTAGCTCAGGTCATGATCCCAGAGTCCCGGGATTGAGTCCTGCATCGGGCTCCCTCCTCAGCGGGGAGTCTGCTTCTCCCTCTGACCCTACCCCCTCTTGTGCTCTCTCTCCCACTCTCTCAAATAAATAAAATAAAATCTTTAAAAAAATAACTGAAAAATTAGTTTGTTTTTTTTGTTTGTTTGTTTTGTTTTTAATTTATTTGACAGAGAGAGAGAGACAGCCAGAGAGGGAACACAAGCAGGGGGAGTGGGAGAGGGAGAAGCAGGCTTCCCGCAGAGCAGGGAGATTCATTCTGTTACTCCAATAACAGTTCTTACAACTCTCCATGTATCTTGTGTCCCATCCAGGGAACTATCTTTACTTTTCTTGGCATACCCCAGGCTTTATTCTTGCCTCTGTTCTTTTGCCCATGTTGCTCCCAAATTCTGGGATTGTTCTTCGTCCTCTTCACAAATTTGAATTCTCTCTTACCTTCATATTGTAATTGCCCCAATTCATCCACAAAGTGTTCTGCAACTGCTCTAGATCCCAATGTTTTCTCTTTTCTTGGAGCCTCTCTCTGCTCTTGTGTTTTTAACCACATAGTATAACACAAATTATCCTTTTTCTCCTGTTATTAGTTTTCTTTCTCTGGCTAAATTGTAACTTCTGTGAGGACAAGGGGCCAAGCTTTGTACTTCCCTGAGTGTAGAGCTGTGGTTCCCCAAATGGGGTCTCTGCACTAGTATCATCATCATCCCCTGGGAGCACGTCAGAAATACATGTTCTCAGGCCCTACCCTAGACCTACTGAATCAGAACTCTCGGGTTAAAGCCCAACAATTTGTGTTTTAACAAGCCCAACAAGTCATTCTCATGTATACTCAGGTTTGAGAACCACAGGTCTCTAGACCCTGTGGTAGGCAACTCAGTAAATAATGATTGAAATAATCTAGTCAGTCATTTTGGTGGATTCTCTCTTTTTGATGTTGCAAATGATAAGTTAAATTAATAAGTTTTTTATATTTAAGACTGATGTTATATTCTTTAGTTATCATAAAGAATTTATATTTATATTAATGAATTAGAGTTTGTTAAGAAACATGGAAAAATCAATCTACTAGACCAGTAGTTATCATGCTCTAGTCTGTAGATGACTTGTATGGAAGTAACCTTGGGAATATTTAATAATATAGATTCCCAGACTGTACCCAAGAGATTCTGATTTAGTAAGTCTGGGATTTGGACCTGAAATGTGTATTTTCTAAAGCACCCCGAATGAATCTGGTACATAGTCCATTTGGACTAGACTCTCCAGTTCAATCCTTTATACATTATTTTCTTTCTGCAAATATTTATTGAGCTCCTACTTTGGTCTGGGCACTTGCTAGGTGTTGTGTTCTTCTCCATCTGGTCATCTCCCTGGGCAGCCTCACTGTCTGTGTTATGAGCCATCTAAGCCCATAGCTTCAGAGTTCCCTGATGTACTCAATTCTGAGGAATCTCTCCTGCATTCTGTATTGGCCACCCACTTTCATGCCCATATCCTGAATCTTGTCATTCATCAAAAATTGAACCTCTGAGTCTCTGAAATCTTAAACTTCAAATCTCAAACTACTCTTTGACCATAGGTGCTTTGTCCTCTAGGTTTTTCCTTTCTTTTACTCTTGCTGCACCTGTTCTTATTAGGACCTCTAGGCTCTTTAACTCTGTTTTCCCCTATCTTCTGTTTTCTGTCTTTTAATATTATCTGATTTCTTTATCCAGCCTGGATCCTGTTGTCTGATACATGAATCCATTCTTTCCAGCTACTTTGTTTGATTGAAATTGAATCCACACTATTTCTCTGCTCCTAGATCTATAGGTTCCTGGGAATTCTTAGAGGAAAAAAAAAAATCTCACAACTGTATAGATCTGTATCACAAGAAATTCCTAGTGAGCCAATTAGTATTTCCAGCCACACCACTCTACCTGATGTTTACAAACAACATACTTCTTTGCCACTCTGATCTTTTCACACAATGTACCACCCACTGATTGAAATGCTCTTATACATCTTCCCATATGCACTCTTCTTTATCTGGCTCACCCCATTCTGGATGCAGGCCTCAGCTTAGATGTTACCTCCTCTAGGAAGCTTACCCCAAACCTCCGGCCCAGACTGGGTCAGGCTTCTTCCTTTTTGTCTCCTACCAACTTCTGTTTACCTCTGTTTGGATTATCTCAATGTGATATAATTATCAGCTTATAGATCTGTCTTCCCTTCGCATTTTAAGCTTCTTGAGGCTAGGATGCATATATTATTCATCTTTATTTCTCTAGTATTTAGAATGGTGTTTATTTCATAAATGAGCAAATGTGTCAGTGAGTGAATGAGTATAAGTTGATCTGTACATTTCAAGTGTGAGTATGCTAGTCACAATATGAGATTTTACATAAAAAGAAGAAAAAAGAAATCACCTCTAGGACTCTGGACAAATCATTTCACCCCTACTTTCCCTCTTGGGCATTCTCATTAGATATTAGGTAGAATATCTAACTTTGGATCTCAGTAATGAATGTTAAGTCTGAACCTAAAACCTAGTTTTCTGCAACCTAGACTAGTGCAGTGCATTTCAAAATAAGGCCGTGTTACATTCTTCTTTGTCAATTAAGGTGAAATGTACTCCATTAAATTTAGAGTAGAGGCTATGGATAAAGAAAACATAGTTATTTTAGTTATGTGAAATAAAATATATTTAAGTCACAACATCAGAAAAAAGTATAAGTCCCCAATTTCTTATCTAAAATTCTGAAGTTCAAAAGTTCTACAAACCTAAAGCTTTTTTCCTAACTCATTTGGCAGCAAAACCTGAGCTGACCTGACCTGAGACATTTTCTAGTTATTATTTAATGCTTAGAGTGGATAATCATATATTTTGTTGTAGAAATATTATTGTATTTGATCATGAGATGTTGCCCCAGACCTTATGGGAGTGTCATGTAATATTCAATATATCATGTCATATTGCCTTTCCAAAATCAAAACATTCTGCATTCTGAACCACATCTGGCCCCAAGAGACTGAGAACTATGTAGTTATTTCAGTTATTATTTTTTTGAGACTGAAGTTAATAGCACTAAAACATACAGAGGCCGTAGGTAAATCATAAATATATTTTTGGCCTTCACCCACTATTTCATTTGTGCCTGGAGACTTTTTTTATGATTAATTGAGGAAAAAGTATTTATTTGCTCCATATATGTCTTACCTAGTGGAGCTCAGTGACAACCCAGTAATGCAGTTAGAGGGGAGAAAAGTGAGTATTACCTTCAAAGTCATCATTTCAAAGGCAGGCTTATCAATCTCTGGGCCTCACATGCTAAGAACCTGGTTGCTCGGTATAGCTAAGTAGCACTGTTAGGAGCCAGGTGTCCTCTTCTGTATACTACCTAGCTTTGAGCTAAGGATAGGACTATGTATCTGTCATTACCTCTTCATAATATCATATGGAAATCTTCCTTTCTCTTTTGGGTTTCCATCCTTACCTTTGCTTTGAGCATTTCTAGTTTTTCTCCTTGGCTTGTGCTTAGATCTTTAGAAAGTGAAAGATCTTGGGGCACCTGGCTGGCTCAGTGGTTAGAGCATGCAACTCTTGATCTTGGGATTGTAAATTCGAGCCCCATAGTGGGTGTAGAGATTACTTAAAAATAAAATGTTTAAAAAAAAAGAAAGTGAAAGCTCTTATAAAAATAAATACCAACTAACATTTCCTGAACCCTCATTGGGTACAAGGCTCTGTGGGATATATAAAGTTACAAGGTAAGGCTCTAGCCTGAAGTTATTTCCAAGCTCTGAGAGGAAAAGGGGACAAGTTTGCATAGTGAGTGAGACATTGTTGCTCTTTAGATTTAGGCAGGTCTGGATCTGAAACCTGGCACCATTACTGAGTAGTCTGGTGACCTCAGACAAATTACTTTCCTCCTCGGTGCCTCAGTTTCCCCATCTGAAAAAATGGAAATGATAGGAAAAGAACCTGCCTCATCAAATCATCATGAAAATTAAATAAGATCATGCACATGAAGTACTTATATACAGGCCTTGGCACATGGGAAGTCTGTCATACTTGTTATTAGTCATTATTTGCTAATGCTGCAGTGTGGTCTAAGGGAAAGATGCTGTATTTTAGAGTCAAACAGACCTTGGTTCAAATGCTAGCATCTCCATTTACTATGTATGACTTTGGGTGAGTTATCTTACTTCTCTAAACCCCAGCTTAATTATTTGCAGAACAGGAAACACAATATCCACCATATAGGGTTGTTGTGAGGATTAAGTGAGATAAAGTACGTAAAGCACCTGGCCAAGTTCTTAGCTTGTGATGGGCTCTCAGGCACCCCTAATCCTGACTATCCACACAAATGCCAGGAAGTACAAGATTGAATACCAAATGATAGCAATAGTCAGTGAAAGTGCAAGCTTGTAAAATTATAGTTGATAATGTAATGTGAACTATTACCATTTAGTTTTGAAATTAATAGGAGAGAAGGTTTCCTAGGCAAATAATATATAAGCCGGGTCTTGAAGTGTGAGTAACCTTGATGTTAGCAGAGGGGAGTAGACAGCATTCCTATCATAGAAGAGGATCAAGTGATCAAAATAACAATATGTAGAGTAATAGTAATGGTTACAATGATAAATATGAATGAGCCAAGTGCAATATTTTCTATCAGATTTGTTAAATATGGTGAGTTAAACAATCAGGTGGGAATGTGTAGAGTTATGTAGGTAAATAGCCTTTTCCTTATAACCCATCATTTTTTATAATCCATAATTGTTATTGTTCTATCACTGTTGAGAAATAAGGTTTCACTTTGAACTTTTAATATTACAGCAAATGGGCCAATCCTTTACAATGGAGAGTCAAAAGAGTTTTAAAGGATTTGAAGAAACGAAGAAAGAAAATAAAGATGGATCCTGAAATATTAGGGACAGCAGTAGAAGAGGAGGATGAAAAAAAGCAAGAGACCAAAGGTAATTAGCAGTAGGATATAAAATTGAAGTATTTAATATTTGATTCTTGTTACCACCATCTTGGTTCAATTCATTTTTTTTTTTTTTTTTTTTTACCCCACAAATGCTTGAACCACAGGAGTATCAGCTTCTGAAACAGTATTATCACTAGGGATATTTGGAATCTAGGAAGGTGGACAAGAAGTGTGCCAAGTTGTTTGGATACCACATTGTTTGGTATACATAGGTCAGCCCTTTAGAAGAAATAAGTGGAATCTGCCTGCTCTGACTCTGCAGCTCCATGAAAGACACCCTTGCTAAATAATAATGGCTTTAGTTCCCCATATGTATCGACCATGCCAAATATCCAGGGGAAGGAGAGTAGCTTCAGGAATCTGACAGATCTGCAATCAAATCCTGGATCCTAGCTGTTAGTTTCAGCTACCTGTTCCCCAAACTTAAATAATTCAGTATTATAAGTGGTTGAGGGATCCCAGAATCATACAGCAGGGACTACCTGGCCCTCAGGCTTACAGATCTCCTAGGCTTGGCCTGAGTTTCCTCCTCCCATAATAATTACGAAGAGCCAACTAAGAATAAAATGGTTGGTGAGAAAAGAGGTATCAGGGAATAGAGTATTGGACTGGGGGGGCGGTCAGGAGACTCAGGCCATTAACTTGTGGCATTTCCATGGACAAGTAAGTTAACCTTTCAGCAACTTGATACCATCAGCTGATGGTAAACAATATAATGTATGTGAAAATGCTTTGAAAATTGCAATGCAATACTCAAATTTAAATTGTTAATTTCCAGCCTCAGTTACAGAGAAGCAGAGGAGTGGAATAACAGACCACTGATCTTAGTGTCAGGAGACTCTGGCTTTAGTCTCAGTTCTGCCATTATGTACAGTGGGAGCTTGGGCAATTCCCTTAACTTTCCTGGGCTTCAGTTCACCAAGCTGCAAAAAGAGAAGTTTGGACTAGATGAACAGGAAATGTGACGTATTTCAGAAGAAACAAAATCCTTATATAAGGTATTATATATATATGTATGTATATAACTATCTATGTAAGGTAATAAGTATATATATATAATCATACATGTATATACATACCTATATATTATTGCTTTGTATAAGTTTAATGCAATACATACATGTGCATATGTATGCACACACAGACACACATATATGACATAAATAGACTAACAGTACAGTTTCTGTGGGCCATTTACTGGGGCATGGATGTTCACCTTGTTATTCAGAAATTGCCATTGTATTTGTCACAATGTATTTTGTCTTTATGCCTCACAGTAACATAAGATGGTACACTGGCAAACTGAAAATAAAGTTAAACATGGCATTGAATATATAGAGTTTGAGAACTTTGTTGCAGTCATTTTCTTTTCTAACAAAGTGTGATGTATGTATACTAGTCCTTTCAAGTTGTTTAACTCTACTTTACTTTTCTCCTATAGCATTATTTTCCCACTGAGAAGAACACAAACCATTCAGAGCAGAGGAGACTGTCCCAGTCATCTAAACCTGATGGAGCATTTTAGGACAAAAATTAGTTGTTACTTTTGTCATGTTTACTTCCAAATATAAAATAAAGTTGATAGTTCTGTTTCTGTGCATCAAACCAGGATCTGAATTCTTCTTATTAAAAATAGTTTCTACAGGATTAAAAAAAAAAACATATGAAAAGCACTGGTGGCATTTCAGGTCCTAGGTAGTAATGTGATTTTTGCAACTTTGGTTATGTTATCAACATATACTTCTGTTGGGGTTAAATAAGGCAGAGATTTCATGTTGTTATTCACCTTCCAGCAAAGTGGTTGGTGGGGGAAACCCAGTGATCATATTTCACTATATATGATACTGTGTTTATTTTGAAGAAAAGAGGTAACAATATTTTGTAGGGTTCTTCTTTTTATTTTATAATTTGTAACATTATTTTTTCCACCATAAAAAGCACACTCATTATAGAAAATTTGGTAAATAAAGTTCTGTAGAAGAAAGAAAAAAATCATCCATAATCCTACTACCAAGAGCTGAACACTGTTGTTAGCTTTTTTTTTTTTTAAACAATTGTGTTCTGTAACATACATTAATTGATTTTTAAAAAGTTGTCTTTTCTTTATTATTCACTTTCCTCTTTTGAAATGTATGGGGCTCAAGCTTACCTGGGCTTGTTGCTCATTCATTCAACAAGCATTGATTAAGCCCCTGTTATGGGCAATGCACTTTCTGTGTGCTGGGGATGTAGTCACAAGCAAGATAAAGTTGGCCTTTCCCTCGTGGAGCTCACAGTCCAGCTGGAGAGGAAGTCAGGTAAAGAAGTAATGACAAGGCTATGATAGAAGGAGTACCAAGTTCTATGGGAGCATTTAGCAGGGGCACTTAGCCCAGACTTCAGGAAGAGGCATAAAATTGAAGGTAAGTAGGACCAACAGATGTTTCCCATGCAATCACTGTGTGGTGGGAGGAGTGTTTCAGATATGAAGGCCCAAGTACATGGAATATTTGGAATACAGCAAATAGTTCAGGATTGCAGCAACTTCAACTTAGATGTTAGATTAAAAGAACTTTATTGTTTTAAGATTTACTTTATTTGAGAGAGAGAGCACACACAAGTGGAGGGAGGAGCAGAGGGAGAGGGACAAGCAGACTCTGTGCTGAGTGCAGAGCCAGAGATCATGACCTGAGCCAAAATCAAGAGTAGGACGCTTAACCGACTGAGCCACCCGGGTGCCCCTGATCAGAACTTTATCACCCACATTTGTTTATTTTCTAGGCCATTTAAAAATTTTTAATTCCAGTATAGTTAATATACAGTGTTAAATTAGTTTCAGGTGTACAATATAGTGATTCAACATTTCAATATATTACTCTGTGCTCCACAAGGTAAGTGTACACTTAATCCCCTTCACCTATTTCATCCATCCCTTCTGATAACCACTAGTTTGTTCCCTATAATTAAGAGTCTGGTTTTTGGTTGGTTTCCTTTTTTGGTTATGACCCACATTTTAAAAATGGGTTTTATCTTGTAGACAGAAGGGAACCAATGAAGGTTTTTTTTTGTTTTTTTTTTGTTGTTGTTGTTGTTTAATATTTTATTTATTTGATAGAGACACAGTGAGAGAGGGAACACAAGCAGGGGGAGTGGTAGAGGGAGAGGGAGAAGCAGGCTTCCCGCCAAGCAGGGAGCCCGATGTGGGGCTCGATCCCAGGACCCTGGGATCATGACCTGAGCCGAAGGCAGACGTTAAACAACTGAGCCACCCAGGTGTCCCCCAATGAAGGGTTTTAAACACAAGAATGGTATGGTTAGATCTATATCCTTAGAGGTCACCCTAACTATTGTGTGGAGAACTGGAAGTGAGCAGCACTGGGGTCAAGAGAATCAGTTATGTGGTTGTTGTATTAATATAGATGTAAAAACATCGTGTCCTGGGCAAGGGTAGTGGCACTGTTGATAAAAGTAAATCTAAGAGCTGTTTGGCATGTAGCATTAATAGAGGACTTGGTTATTAGTTTGTGTGGGGAAGGAATGAGGAGGTTGAAAGGAAAGTGTAAATTTCAGGTTTCTAAATGATGAACCAACTGGAAACTGCTCCTCCCTCCACTTGTGCGTGCTCTCTCTCTCAAATAAAATAAATCTTAAAACAATAAAGTTCTTTTAATCTAACATCTAAGTTGAAGTTGCTGCAATCCTGAACTATTTGCCGTATTCCAAATATTCCATGTACGTGGGCCCTCATATCAGAAAGATAGTGGTTCTATTCCTATTCAGTGAGATGGGACAATGAGGAGGAGGACAGGTGTGGCAGGTTAAGATGAGTCATTTTTGGATAGGCTGTTTGAAGTGCCTCTGGAACATCCAGGTAGAAATGACTAGTAGGCAGTTAGGTATATGGGTTTGGATCTCAGGAGAAAGGTCTGGCTGGGTATAAAAGTTTAGGAATCATCAATATATAGATGATAATTGAAGTCCTAGTGAATAATTGATATCAACCAGGAAGAATAAGAAAAGAAGAAGGGACTGTAATAGAATCCGGAAGAACACAAACATTTAAGGGATGGTCGGAAATGGTGTAGCTGTCAGTGGAGACTGAGAAGTATAAGGATAAACAGGAGAGAGTTGTTAGGGAGGAAAATTTTTTCTATACCTTTCAAAATTCTTTTGGCTGGTCTGAGAATTAAATTGACATAAGACAAACTAACAGGAGAAAATCAAATTTAATTACGTACATACAGAGGCTCCATAAAGAATTAGAGGCCTATAGGCAGTCAGGCAATTGAGGCTTGCTTATATGCCATTCAGAGCTAAGGAGAAAGGGGTTAGGGGTCTGGGACTTCAAAGGGATGAAAATTCACAGGTAGATGAAAAAATAAATTTTTGGTAAACAAATGTTTGCTGGGCCATACAGAAACAATGGGATACAGAGAGAAATTTTAACAAACTTTGCTAGGTTCCTCCCTGTCTGCCACACTTAGTCCATATTATACTGTAGTTATCTATGCTAATAGCTCCCTTCCTGGAGTAGGTCCTCTATCTAAATTCTTTTAGGCAGTTAGCAGGAAGGCAAAAATAAAAACAAAAACTTCTTGAGCTTTCTGTTTCTTAGAAAGAATCCGCCTAAAATAATCTACATGCCAAAGAGACACATTTTGGGGTGGCAAATTTTGCTCCCCTACAGAGTATATAATGAAATCCAAGAGGATGGCATGTTTCAAAGAGGAGGGAATGATCAACAGCATCAAAATTCTGATTCATTTCCACTGGATTTGGAAACATGGAAGTCATTAGTGACTTTGGCAATAGCAGTTTCAGTAATGAGGTGGGAGCAGAAAGTAGATACCTTGAGTTGCAGAGTGACTTGGAAGTGAGAAAGTGAAAGCAGTGTGGACAGCTTATTGAAGAAGTTTGGCTGTGAAGGAAATCAGAGAAACAGTGGTATAGTTATTGATTGGTAGTTTAGGATGGGGAGAATTTTTTCAAGATAGGGAGTAGAAGGAGCATTGAGTGTAAAGGCTGGAGGTGTGGGAAAGTTTCAACTTGGCCTACTGATCCCCAACTTATCCTGTTCTGTTTATTCCATAGCATTTATCACCTGTGAACATACCATATAATTTAGTTATTTATTATGCTTATTGTTTATTATTTGCCTTCTCCTGCCAGAATGTAAGCTCTCCTAGGGCAGAGGGAGTTTTTTGTGTTCAGTTCAGGGATACATCCCAAGTGCCTAGGACAGTGTCTGGCACACAGTAGGTACTCAACAAATAAAATACCTATTGGATGATTGGATTGGAAACAAAGACATCACTTTTGCTATGATTAATGGGCGCTTCCAAGGCAAACTGAATTCTTAGAAAAAAAGCCAAACTGTACAACAAATGATCACCAGAGTTTAGTAAATAAATGGTTGCTTTCAAAGCTATTCCCCAAGAATCTGATACTGCTGCTCTAAATTTTAAGAGCTGCATTCAGGGAAAACTAAATGAAAAAGAGCAAATAAAAAAGTTCGCTGGGTAGAAATAAGTAATAAAACAACTACATAAGGAAACAGATACTTAGAGTATAAAATTGAAATTTTAGCAAAAGCAGTGGCAATCTACAGATATAAGCATAGTCTGATGCAGTACTTTGAAAGCAATACATAGGGACATCTGCAATGGGTTCTCTAACAGATTAGAAACTAAGTTGCAGAGGACACTGACAGAGATTACCATTAAGTGGTAATGTGAGGGGAAAGAATGTGAGTTTAGAGTGGCAGTTGAACAACTAGAGATGCGGAATAAATGTTGGGCCAGAGATGAAAAGTTGAAGCAATTGAGGGTTGTTATTATTAAAGATTAAAAGCCAAAGGGACCCTCACAAGAGTGGGAAGGAAATAAGTTTTTCAGAGAGCTGTCCCCAACACCAGTGCCTAATACACTACTAATTATGTCTGACATGGCTGACCAAGTCCTGCAAGAGATAAATTGGTGGATCATGAATGTGTCACTAACATGCAAACTTTAACAGTCATTTCCCTCAAGCCATTGCTATATCTGTTCCAAATAAAAATACACCAAACAAGAAGTACCTCTGATACAGAGCCTGAACTTAAACTGATTAGGGTGACTGCTTTAAAACCAGAGGTGATGAACATTCTCCCCACTACATAGACATTGAGACTTTAAACCAAGAATGACCAGGGCACCTGGGTGGCTCAGTCAGTTAAGCATCTGCCTTTGGCTAAGGTCATGATCCCGGGGTCCTGGGATTGAGTCCCACATACGTCAGGCTCCGTGCTCAGCAGGGAGTCTGCTTCTCCCTCTCCCTCTGCCTCTTCTCCCCACTTGTGCTCTCTCTCTCAATTAAATAAAAATCTTTAAAGAAAAATAAACCAAGAATGACCAAATGGTCAAAAACAAAGCTCTTCCACCTTAGCCCATGGCCAACCAGACATTGGTAGAGAATCTGGATAGATGTAAAGTTCAGTTGTTTAGAAAATGAGGACAAGATCTCTCTTAGATATCAGCATCATGGACAATGGAAATGCTCCATAAAATAAGGGCTGCTCTTTAGTATAAGACACATTTTATTCATTATGGCATTTTGTAAATATTTCTTGTCTATTTATGGTCTAAGTG